GCGACGGAGTAACAATGTCCACGTCCGAAAAAATAATCTCGTCGTTATCTTCGAGTAGCAATGTCTTTGACGAAATTCGAGTTTCTTCTATCAGTTTTAGAGGATCTGTAGAAGATGTACAGGCAGGTTTGGCCTCTAAAATGTGGCTCGCTATTAGATATGAAAATGAAAATAATAGTGTAAACACATACCGTGTTGTGCAGATCGAACAAGTTCCTCCAACTCTGATACTCTGGCAATTCCCCCAGACAACTCAAGAAACTTTCTGTACAGCTCCAATATATCACCAAACGCAAGAAAGCTTTGGGATACAACAGAGGCTAGGAAACGCAAATCATGGGCCAGCTCTCCTGCCGATAAAGAGGTTAAAAAATGTCAGGCACCGAACCCTGCCTACCTTGTACAGAAGTCGAAGATCGATCGCCAGTATGTTCCACAGCGTAAAGCAAACTCAACGCCCATGTCACAATGTGTGGTAGCTGCTTCGTGACAAACTCATCTGCCACTCCAAATGTCCACCGCTTTTTCAATAGCTTCCGATCGTGTCTTAGCAAAGAGTTAAATCGTTGCTCAATGACCTGCAGAAAGCCGATAAATAAAACGTAAAGCAAATGCAACTGACTTACCGCCTTTTCTCTTGATCCGCCACCAAAGAAAGCAACGGACTCTGCATGACTGCAGAGCCGAGAATGCATGTATCTGTAGATAACAATGTCAGGAATATAAGAGAAACCGTTTGTGAATAACCTGAATGATCCTTCCAATTGCTGTTCTTGGCTAGTTAAAGCCGCAAAATCAGGTGTGATGCAACGAAGAAATCCAAGACCCAGTAGCATGTATGCATATAAAAAGCCGACGCCCCTTTTCCCAGTAAGCATCTTCATCCGCAATGTAAACCTGAATTGCAGGCGTCGTAAAGCTTTTCAGATAAACAAAAAGCTGGACACTTACCATACGATGTCAACCAGTGGTTTTACCATGCCAGTAACAAGACCGGCCACGTCCCCGCAAAGTTTTTCCGTATCTTGCGTTAACCGTTGATCCGCGTCAGTGCAGGGAGAAAGATTAACGACCTTCGCAAAGGCGATCCGCATCAGCGTAAAACAAGCACTTCGAAAAAGAAGCGATGAACTCACTTTGTAAAACGCGTTGTTTCTAAAGTAAAGTTTCGATATATGCTCTGTCAACCTTCTTCTCCAGCCTATGGAAAGTCTTGCTGTCAAGTACCTGAAGACAAAAAATTAAATTTAACAGTTGATATATCTTAGAGACCTTAAGGATCAGTTGATATATCTTAGAGACCTTAAGGATGGTGCTACGATAGATGAAGCAGCGCTTTGTAACACGCTGACACCAGTGAGCCGAATAAACGCTGACTTGTCCTGTTCCAAGACATGCCTGACACTTGTTCCTGCGTCACAAAAGCTACGATAAGAAGGAAACCGTGAGCGTCACTACCATTAAGGTCGGCAATGCGATCAGAAATCCACGTTCGCCCCACCACCAATAACGCAACCGCAACCAATTGGGCTCCTTGCTTGTCAGACAGCGTTGGTACCTTTTCAAGAAGCCGCAAAAAATCAGAAACGAGTTCGAACATATGAAATGCCATACCAAAATTTTCAAAAGCGCGGACACTCGTGCAGGCATTTTCTGTTGCTCAATTTGCAATCGAGGGACAGAAGGAACAATGCCAGAACTTCGTGGAGGAGAAACTGCAAGAACTGCACGAACGTAAGAATCTTGAGGTTTCGAATCGTGCGTAGGATCATCCTGAATGTTAAGTGTTAGAAAACTCAACTTTAACACAGTTCTTACCTTCGTGTCAGAAAAGAGTTTCTGAACATAAAAAGCGTCACTTTTACGATCAGTGACGTCCTCTGCAACAGTCATTTTGGTGGTCTCCGGCAAGGTAAGAGGAGGAGCATTTCTAAAAGGACGAGGTTAGTTTAAGATGATAAGGAAATGAACTGCAAGTACCTCTTGTAATGTACATTCCATCCACCTTCGCCATCAAGAGATAGAACTGTATCATGAAAAGCGACCAGCGCAGGCCTGTGAGATATGGTCACGCATGAGGTACCCATGGCCCTTACTTCTGCACAAAAGCGCTCTTCCATGTCGGTCGTGACAGCGCTCGTACACTCATCTAAGATAGCGAATGCGGGTCTGTGATAAAACAAGCGTGCCATTCCAAGCCTCTGTTGTTCCCCAAGGGAAAGTTCATCACTCCAATTCACTTCCTGACTCGAGGGATAACGATCAAGCAGGTATTCCAAATCAACCTGAACGACATACAATTAGCAAAATATACAAGCCAAGACTGGAAAGCGTACGTTTTTTAGTAGGTCGCGCATGCCGTCAATAGTGAGAGGCTGAGTTTCTTCGGCTGGAGTAAGAGGATAGATCAGCTGATCACGCAAAGTTCCGATGGATGTGTAAGGACGTTGAGGAACATAGAAAATTTCATGGTTCAGGCCCGAGCCTACTCCCGGCTTTGCAATTCGACCAGACACTAAGGGCCAGAGGCCCCCGAGAACTCTAAACAGCGAGCTCTTGCCGCTTCCATTCGGCCCTGAGATCCGAAAGGCACATTAAAGACGACATGCAAAGGCACCATGTTGCCATACCAGTAATTAATAGATTAGATCCGGGCTCAACCTTCAACGTCAAATCCTCGACCAAAGTAGCTCCCGTAGGTGTGACTACCTGCAAGCATACTTTCAGAATATTGTCCCGAGACGTTAAGAATTACCTTTACTCCCTCAAACTCGATATAGTTGGCCTCAACAAAATAGCTCCCGGTTTCCTTATTGCGTTTAGCATTTCCACCGACCACTCTTATATCTCTTGCAATTGACATAAGCTCGTAAATACGGTCCGCATAGCCGCTGAAGGGAAAATCAGCCAACTGGTCATATGAAGAGATCTCGTACCTCATTCGAGATAATCTACGTGGAGTTGTTGCTAGAACACCCATAGACTGGAAAAGCGAAATAATTACGCTGGTGTGATACCGCATGTTGCTAAGCATCAAAGCACGGCCCCATGTCGAATGATCAGGCTTCAGTGTGCCAGCGAAAAAGGGTTCAATGATCAGAACAACACCAAACGTCGCTCCCAAATACTTCAATAAGAAGTCTTGAATCATTCCGAACCACCACTGGGTGTAAAGGACAGAGCCCAGGTGCTTGTAGAGCGATCTGAATCTTTGAGAGATGATCGATGCCTCTCTTTCCTGTCCCCCATAAAAAGCAATGCTCTCGGAGTGAGTTCTTAGTCGAGAGTGGAGTTGCCTGTAGTCACCCTCAAGCTGTTGTTCCGTAGACATGAGTCGCCCGAAAGGTGGTGACAAAGTCCCGGTGATAACACCTGCGCCGATCACATACGCCTGAAAGAAAGAGTTTTACGAAAAGCCTCAACCGTACGTTACTTACTAGAATTCCAAATGCATATTTTGGACTCGCATAAGAGCACAATCGCCAAGTATACAGAAGTCCGTCAAATACGGCAGAGATGTTTTCCTGTATCAGATCGCAAAGTTCAGTGCAGAACCTCGGGATATCACTGGCAATGCGCTGCTCAGGGTTGGAAATACGGCGATCCACATGAGACATCTTGTAGTACGTCATGTTCTGCCAGAACATAGACCAAGTTAACTATCGAAACATCAACACCAGTAAGATCTCCCTTCCTACCTGGAAATAGTCGTGGTGAATTCGGTCAGTAAGGATTTTCCGAAAATGCAGGCACAAGTTGCCAGTAAGGTACTTCGTCGTTGATATAAGCACTGATTGCAGAAGGCATAGAATAACATTCTCCGTTATAAGACGTATAAACAGCGGCACCCTCTTCAGGAACACGGCACGGAAGAGAAAGCCTTGAACTCTTGCAAGCCGGTTACTGAGTGTAGTCTTCAACACCTGCGTAAAAATAAAATAAAGTTGTTAAGAGCCAGAACGAATAAGGTGATCGCATACCGCAATCGCAACGAGGTAGCCAAGATACTTCGCCCCACGATTCCCGAGCTGGGCAGACAGAATGCCAAGAAGTATCTTCAGAGACTTTAGACCACTCTTTCTTGGCTTTCGAGAGCGAGTAGATTTATTTGCTTCAATGCTAGCGTCGACCTGACTGGTTGGCCTTTCCGGAATAATTCCATTCTGCGAGACGAGCTTTCTTGCGGAGTTTCTCTGCGCCAAGACCGAGCTCGCATAAGCAAAACCTCCTCCGGCAATCAGCACGGCTGCCGTGACCGCTAGCGCTCTCCTGTAAGTGGCATCCTTGTCGACAAGCCAAAAGAAAGGCAAAAGACCTACCTCTTTGAGCTAGGCCGGAGAGCCTGAGCGATCTGTAGCGATGGCATGGCTGCGCTAGAGCTTGATCCGATGCGCAGCAGCTATGATCCCCATCCCACACCCGATCGACATTCCAATCATCAGCGCCAATCCAAGAAGTTCTGCCGCTGGGCGAAATTTCACGTACCTGGATCAAGGCGCCAGACCTAAGCGCCGGAGACGCGCCATCGCAGCTCCTGTCCCATTCTAGGGCTCCACGACTTCGCACAAAGGAATTTCCCGCATAGACGACAACGTTGGGTGCAATGGGAAACCATACGCTATAATTTAGCCACGTTCGTGTGAACAGGTGTTAAAGTAAGCTAGATCTTGTCAAAGTCCCTTTTGCTCCCAGTGTGAACAGTTGGTCACTCGATCCTGGATCGATACCTGGTACTTCTCGTGATAGATCTTAACACGAGACCCTCACTTGTAACCTCTGAGATATTCCCTCCCTTGCACAAGGATATGCTGTGGAGCGATCGCTTCCTCCAGGACGAGCGGTCGCTCATCCGCTTTGTTGACTTTGTGGGCCTCTCAGCGTTTCGAGTGACACAAAACACGTGAAAACTCCACTGTCGTCGATCACCAAACTCCTGCAAATCCAGCCGTTGGTTCCAGGGAGATCGACGGCCAAGCTTACAAGGGGAAAAATTTAGGCCTTTTTGTTTGTTTGTAGCATTTCGCTGCGCGGGGAAGTGCGGAGCGAGCGACAAGGCGCTGTCGAGGCGCCAGGGCAAATCCAGGGCGGAGGTGCTGTGCCATCGCAAGCGCCGCGCAAATCTCTGCTGCTGTCCAGGTGCGACATTTCTCTCAGGAATTCCATCGCCAGGGTTTTGTGTTCTAACATCTTTTCGTGCTCTCGTCGACAGGGCTACGGCGGAACCGGCGCTCTCCTGAAAGGTATGGCGCCTTCTCTTCCTCCTCATTCGCTCTTCTTCCAACTGGGGGTTTCTTCACATCGAAATTTCGCTCTTTCCCATGCTCTGCCTCGAAATTTCGCCCGATTCTCATGCGGGAGGGTCTAGAAATCTCTCACATTGCTGGCCTGTACTAGGATTTCTCGATATTTCATTCCAGTTTCACCAGATTGACGCGGGTGCTTGGGGGTTTTCCTTGTCACGGGTCGGATGGCAGGTCTCGGGAGGGACGAGGCAGCGGTCTCACCATCGATCAATCGATTCTCGCGGAAAAAGAACCCAAAGGTGAAAGAAAGCTGATCAATCTCGAAAACCATGGAGTTTGATGGTGGCAGATTGCCAATCGGTGGCACCAATGTGGTCTATCTCTCGAGCCTCTGTGGTAATGGTAACGGTGGCGTTGGTGCTACCACCGGTGGCTACCACAGGTGTAACCATTCGTGCCAGGTCGAGCACGTCTGGGCCAACCTCTACCGCTGCCTCTCCACTGGGAGCTCTCACGTCTGTGACAAGAATTGCAACCAGAGGATCCTGTATGATGTGTACAGTAGCATTTGCCGCGTGAGTGGCCAGATCTTTCCACTGACGCTGGCGGAGCAGGAGGCGGCGAGGGGCGTGAGGAGGAAGAGGGAATCTTCCACCGCTGCCATGGCGGTGATCCCCTCGAGCCCGTCCAGCAGTGATGGAGGAGGATTCGAGAGGTGTGTGAAGCGGCGGTGTGAGACCAGGCCTTTTGAGTTAGAGCGGTTCCGCCAAATCGCTGTTCCGGCGTCCGGCGGCCATGGCCAAGCCAGTGCCATGGACTTGAGCTGAGAGTAAGAGAAGACTGGAATATTCAAAGATCCATATAACGAAAAACGGCATATCCATCCCGTAGCATATTCTAAACCTATTCCTTTTAGGGAAGCTAATGAAAAGGTAGCATATTCGTCGTAATTTTGCTAAGAAGTCAAAATTGGCTTCCAACGTTGGAGGTGAGTCCCCCCTGGTCCGAAACCAGCGCGGGAATCCTGTCCGTCGGCCTAAATAAAGGTCACGTCCATCGACGGCCAGGGGCCGGCCACGAGTGCAAATCGCTACCACGTGTCACTCCGAAGCTGCCACGAACGTCTTCCGTACCTGTCCTGGAAATCGGCTAGATTTTGCTATTGCAAAAAAAAAAAAACCAGAGGCTCAAAGGCTATGGTGGAAAAGGGCAGTATAAATAAACTTTGGAACGAGTGTAGCTCTAGAAACATTCCTCCTCTTCTCCTCTCGCGATCGATCGATCGATTTCCTAGGGTTTAAGAGGAGGCCATGGCGCCTTTAGCGACATTGTATGGCAGGGACGTCACGTTTGCGGCGCCATACCGTCCGTCGCCTCCGGCGCCCTCTCAAGCCCTAATTTCTTGGCAGGAAAGGGTGGAAGCTCCGGCGGCATCGCATTTCTTCGCGGGCCTCCAGCAATCCACTCGATTGAGCGCCAGATTCGCCGCCAGCGATCGCAGGATCCCGCGGGAAAGGGATGTTACGCCCAGGGTCGCGGAGATCGACAGAGTTCTCGAGGTAAATGGGGCGTTTCTCGGCGCCAGCGCCAAGCCGGCGGCGGCGGAACTGATTGAGCCCGACGGCGGCACGCTGGTGGATCTGCTGGTGCCGGATTCCAAGGCGGCGGAGAAGGAATCCGAGGCCAGGGGTTTGGTCCAGGTGAAGATCGGCCAGATCGATCTGGAGTGGATCCATGTCGTGAGCGAGGGATGGGCGAGCCCGCTCAAGGGATTCATGCGCCAGGCCGAGTACTTGCAGGCGCTGCATTTCAATTCGCTGCGCATGCCCAATGGACTCCTCGCGAATATGTCGATTCCCATCGTCCTGGCCATTGACGACGAGCAAAAGGAGAGCATTGGGAACGCCAGTAGCGTAACGCTCGTTGGTCCCCAAGGCGACATGGTGGCTATCCTCTCCAAGTAAGTGCTTGTCCATTTCTTTAGTCCATTTCCACCATGTCCAAGTTTTTGGTGGTTTGTGCTGCTTCACTGATTGAGCTTGTCGCTATCTTTCTTTTTTCCACTAATCTCTAGTTTGCTCTTTCCAGCATCGAGATTTACAAACATAACAAGGAGGAGCGAATCGCGAGGACTTGGGGAACCACTGCTCCTGGCTTGCCTTACGTCGACGAGTCCATCACCAATGCGGGTAACTGGTTGATTGGAGGGGACTTGGAGGTTCTCAAGCGCGTCAAATACAACGATGGCTTGGATCACTACAGGCTCTCGCCGATGGAGTTGCGTGCCGAGTTTGCGAGAAGGAAGGCCGACGCGGTGTTTGCATTCCAGCTGAGGAATCCGGTGCACAACGGCCATGCGCTCTTGATGACGGACACGCGACGGAGGCTGCTGGAGATGGGGTATAAGAATCCAATTCTACTGCTCCATCCTCTTGGTGGCTTCACAAAGGCCGACGATGTTCCTCTCGAGTGGCGTATGAGGCAGCATGACGAGGTTTGTTTTTTATTTCGCGGCGTGTTTTCTACGTTCTTACATTTGTCATTGTCTTTGTGAAGGTTCTCAAAGCAGGTGTGTTGGATCCAGAGACAACGGTGGTGGCAATCTTTCCCTCGCCAATGCATTACGCCGGGCCAACGGAAGTCCAATGGCACGCCAAAGCTCGAATCAACGCGGGTGCCAACTTCTACATTGTTGGCCGTGATCCGGCAGGAATGGGACACCCCATTGAAAAACGTGATCTGTATGACGCGGACCACGGGAAGCTGGTTCTCAGCATGGCTCCTGGATTGGAGCGCTTGAACATCCTTCCTTTCAGGGTAACGTTCCTTTGTGCTCGTGAGTTGCGGAAACTAACATCTTGTTCACTTCTCTTTTGGATTCAGGTGGCGGCGTATGACAAAACGAAGAGCAAAATGGCGTTCTTTGATCCTTCGAGACCTCAGGATTTCGTCTTCATCTCTGGGACCAAGGTTTGTGCTCTTTTTATTCTCCATCGTTTTAAATTAAGGAGCTGTCTGGAAATGCAGATGAGAAACTTTGCCAAGAGTGGCGAAAGTCCACCAGACGGGTTCATGTGCCCCGGGGGCTGGAAAGTCCTCGTTGAATACTACCAAAGCAAAGCCAAGGAGGCAACCGCGACGTCGCCATAAAAACTCCTGGTAAACCGAGGGGGGAGGGAGAGAGACTGCCGCAATGATCTATCACTTATAGCAAGGATGGATCCAACCGAAGTTGGAGCTCCGTCCAGAGCAAGCAAGCATCCTAGTGTACAGGAAGAGCAACAGAGCGCATTTCAATTCATATTGAAATGGATGCTTTTTCCATCCAAGTCCATATGTCCGAGATGAGTGAGTCCGAGAAGGTCCGAGAGAGGTGATACAATGGTTAACAGGAATGGCTGTCTCCTTTTCTAGCTTACAATCCGAATGGTTTTCTTCTAGGAAGCAAGGATCTCTCCTACTGTGAGGCAGTGCAAAGATCTTCTCGCTTCCACCATGGGTGTTTGCGGTGCCTGGACAAGGCCCACGACGTGCTCGTCTTCCTCGTCCTCGGTATCGTGCTTCTTCTTGAACGGCAGCCGCGAGAGATCGTCCTCGTCCTCGACCCGGAGATCTTCGTCAACTTCCTCTTGGTCGTGATCAAACTCTCGCGGAGGAGCAGCGGCGGCGGAGGAGGAGGACCTTGGATCGAGAGAGGATGGCGGGCGGAGCTTGGTGGTGCCGGGATTGCTCTTGCCGAGGTGGAGGAGGGCCGAGTATTGGTTTTGGAGCTGGAGGATCTCCTTGGACCGCCGCGAGTTCTCCTCGAGTAGCTTGAGGCTGGCCTTGATCACCTTGTGCATGATGTTCTTGAGGTCCTGGCGATCGCCGCCATGGTTGCCAGCCGCGAGCTCCTCGCTGTGGATCCTCAGCACCCTCTCCAGGACGTGGGGCTGGCACAGGAAGGATGGGTTGTTCAGCGCTCGATCGTGCACTGCCGGGCTCAGCTTGTCGCAATCCACGAGCCGCCACAGCGCCTGGATCTCCTCCGCGGCGTCCTCGCGATGATCCGCCATGGCCTTGGAGAGCATCCGGTCAATCGAGGAGTAGAGCGAGTCGTGCGATGCGCGGGACTGCGCCGGGAAAGCCGAGAAGATCTCCACGAAGTGCTTGGGCGTGATCGCGGGCGGGGTCTCCTCCGCGAAGATCCACAGGCAGCCGTCCACCTCCGCCGCTACCTCCTCGAGCTGCTCCAGCGATTCCTTGCTCCCTCCATCGCAACGATTCTCCACGAAATGGGTGACGAGGGAGAGTAGCGTCGGCGCCGAGAAGCGGTAGCTATGGAGGTAGTCGTCCAGCTCGTGGAGGCTGGCGCCGATGCGCTGCTCGAGCTGGGAGTGGATCCCGCGGAGGCGCGGCCAGATTTGGGAACCCAGTTGCGCGATCTCGACGCCCACGTGCTTGGATCGATCGCCCACGCCCGCATTCCAGAGGGGTCTCTCTCGCTCGAGCGCCAGGAGCTCCTCGACGTGCTCCAGGAGGCTACACCAGTACTGGGAGGAGAGCTCCAGCGAGGAGGAGCGGCGGAGGAGCATCTCGGCGAGGGCGATGACGATCCAGCAGCGCGCGCGGTAGCCCGAGGAGGAGGACGAGGGCGGCGATAGCGATCCACACTCGTCGCGCAGGACGTGGGAGAGCCACGCGCGGACGTTCCTCCCCTGGCGGCACTTGAGGCTGAGATTCACGTCCGCCTCCACCAGCGTCGCCACCAGCGGCGCCATGTAGAGGTCGGGCAGCCGCGACGCCATGGTGACGAGCACCTCGGTGAGCGAGCTACACGGCGAGGAAGAACAGTGCCAAGTCGTGGTGGTGGTGGTGGCGGCGATGGCGGCGGCGGCGGCCTTGGGCGGAGCTGTGGACGGCGAGCCGGACGATCCGAGTGTCGAGGAGCCCGAGGAAGTGGCGGCGCCACCAGATGCCGCGGCCGGGCATTTGCTGCCACCCTCGAGAAAGCCTCTTCCGGCGCTCTTGGAGGAGAGATTCCTGGGGAGTGGCACGGAGACGTGCTTGGTGTCGGCGAAGGCCTTGGTGAGCGCCGAGGCCAGGACTTTCAGGCAGCGCGACTCGATGTAGTCGTCCACGGCGGAGTCGCCGAATCGCGAGTAGTGCTGGAGGAAGCCCGCGCACGACCGCCAGTGGCTGAAGACGCTCGTGTAGAGGAAGCGCTTGGCGGAGTCGAGCAGGTCGGGCATGCCCAGCTCCGCCGCCACCGATCGGACTCGCGCTACGTTTGAGAATGTGAAGGCCGGCTTGATGAGGTAGCAGAAGTCCGCCGCCGTGGAGAAGGCGGCGGCGCCGCCTAAAAGGTGCCCGAGCTCCACCACTACTCTCTCCCACTGGATCTTCTTCCTTGCACTCTTGCGAGAGCTATCGAGGATCTCTCCTTCTCCTCGCTCTACTTGGTGGTGGCTTTCTCCTCCTTGTTCCTCTTCTTCTTCTTGGTCTTGGTTGTGGAGCTCGCGGAAGAATGAGGAAGCGTTTTTGAGTGGAAGAAGATGGAGATTAAACTCGGCCGAGTCGCCAAACCGGACGAGCACGTCGCTATACTCGCCTGTTCTTCGCACTCTCTGGAGCCATCCTCCAAAGCTGCCGTTGGTATTACCGCTAGATTGCTTGCCCGTCCCTGCTGCTACTCTATCGCCCCCACCTCTAGAGTGATCTCCGGCCATAGCTCCCTCTACACTGAGATTGATTCTCTACATACACTCCAAAGTTCTCTCTACTCCTCCATTTGCTTGGAAGGATTGGAACTCACTCACTCACCTTTGCAAAAGTCTCTGTTCTGTGACTCGTTTTTTCTTCCTTGATTGTTGCTCTTTTCTCGCTGATCTGATTGAGAGCTCGCTCGCCCCGATTGATTCTT